TTGGAGCCCAGGAAAATAAAGTCTGTCACTGTTTTCATTGTTTCCCCATCTCTTTGCCATGAAGTGATGGGACCAGAAGCCATGATCTTAGTTTTTTGAATGTTTAGTTTTAAGCCAACTTTTTTCACTCTCCTCTTTCACCTTCATCAAGAGGTTCTTTAGTTCCTCTTTGCTTTCTGCCATAAGGGTGGTGTCACCCTGTTTGTTTAACCTATATGCTGAGCATGTCATGAGAAATGCCAGGCTGTGTGAGTTACAAACTGGAATCAAGATAGGCGGGAGAAACAACAGCCTCAGACATGCAGATTATACCACTCTTATGGCAGAAAGCGAAGAGGAAATAACAGCCTTTTGATGAGGGTGAAGGAGAAGAGTGAAGCAGGCAGCAGCACTGTTTACAACAGCCAGGACATGGGAGCAGCCTAGACGCCCATTGGCAGACGAGTGGATAAGGAAGCCGTGGTACATGTACACCATGGGATATTACTCAGCCATTAAAGAGAATACGTTTGAATCAGTTCTAATGAGGTGGATGAAACTGGAGCCCATTTTACAGAGTGAAGTAAGCCAGAAAGAAAAACACCAATACACTATACTAACGCATATGTATGGAATTTAGAAAGATGGTAATGATAACCCTATATGCAAGACAGAAAAAGAGACACAGATGTATAGAACAGACTTTTGGACTCTGTGGGAGAAGGCGAGGGTGGGATGATCTGAGAGAATAGCATTGAAACATGTATATTATTAATTGGGAAACAGATCACCAGTCCAGGTTTGATGCATGAGACAAGTGCTTGGGGCTGGTGCACTAGGATGACCCAGAGGGACGGGATGGGGAGGGAGGTTGGAGGGGGGTTCAGGATGGGGAACACATGTAAATCCATGGCTGATTCATATCAATGTGTGGCAAAAACCACTACCATATTGTAAAGTAATTAGCCTCAAACTAATATAAATACATAAAAAAAGAGGCAGCTTAAGATTAATATTTAAAAAAACTAAGATTGTGGCATCTGGCCCCATTACTGCATGGCAAATGGAAGGAGAAAAGGTGGAAGTAGTGACAGATTCCCTCTTCTTGGGCTCCAAAATCACTGCAGATGCTGACTGCAGCCATGAAATCAAAAGACGATTGCTTCTTGGCAGGAAAGCGATGACAAACCTAGAGAGCGTGTTGAAAAGCAGAGACATTACTCTGCTGACAACGGTTGTGAGAGCTGGACTGTAAATTTGGCAGAACACCTAAGAATTGATGCCTTTGAACTGTGGTGCTGGAGAAGACTCCTGAAAGTCCCTTGTACTGCAAGGAGATCAAACCAGGATCAATCAAATAAGGAGATCAATCTTAGGGGAGATCAACCCTGAATGTTCACTGGAAGGACTGATGCTGAAGCTGAAGCTCCAGTATTTCAGTCATCTGATGCAAGGAGCTGACTCATTGGAAAAGTCCCTGATGCTGGGAAAGATTGAGGGCAGAAGGAGAAGAGGGCATCAGAGGATGAGATGGCTGGATGGCATCGCCGATGCAATGGACGTGAACTTGGGCAAAACTTGGGCGATGGTGAGGGACAGGGAGGCCAGAGTGCTGCAGTCCCTGGGGTTACAAAGAGTCAGACATGACTGGCTGACTTAACAACAACATCTTATATTTTCAGATATAGTTGTTTTTATCACATTCAAAAACGATTACTAGTTAGGTGTACTTTCAGTTCAGTTCAGTTGCCCAGTCGTGTCCAACTCTTTGAGACACCATGGACTGCAGCTTGCCAGGCCTCCCTGTCCATCACCAACTCTCCAAGCATACTCAAACTCATGTCCATCTAGTCGGTGATGCCATCCAGCCATCTCATTCTCTGTCGTCCCCTTCTCCCCCTGCCTTCAATCTTTCCCAGCATCAGGGTCTTTTCCAATGAGTCAGTTCTTCGCATCAGGTGGTCAAAGTATTGGAGTTTCAGCTTCAGCATCAGTCCTTCCAATGAATATTCAGGGCTGATTTTCTTTAGGGTTGACTGGTTGTATTCCTTGCTGTCCAGTGAACTCTCAAGAGTCTTCTGCAACACCACAGTTCAAAAGCATCAATTCTTTGGTGCTCAGCTTTCTTTATAGTCTAACTCACACATCCATGCATGACTACTGGAAAAACCATAGCTTTGACTAGATGGACCTTTGATGGCAAAGTAATGTGTCTGCTTTTTAATATGCTGTCTAGGTTGGTCATAACTCTTCTTCCAAGGAGCAAGTGTCTTTTAGTTTCATGGCTGCAGTCACCATCTGCAGTGATTTTGGAGCCCCCCAAAATAGTCTATTACTGTTTCCATTTTTTCCCATGATCTTACTTTTCTGAATGTTGAGTTTAAGCTAACTTTTTACTCTTCTCTTTCACTTTCATCAAGATGCTCTTTAGTTCTTCTTCACTTTCTTCCATAAGTGTGATGTCATCTGCATATCTGAGGTTATTGATATTTCTCCCAGCAATCTTGATTCCAGCTTGTGATTCATCCAGGCCAAGATTTCTCATGATGTACTCTACATATAAGTTAAATAAGCAGGGTGACAATATACAGCCTTGACACACTCCTTTCCTGATTTGGAACCACTCTGTTGTTCCATGTCCAGTTCTAACTGTTGCTTCTTGACCTGCATACAGATTTCTCAGGAGGCAGCTTAGGTGGTCTGGTATTCCCATCTCTCTAGAAAATTTTCCACAGTTTGTTGTGATCCACATAGTCAAAGACTTTAGCATAGTCAATAAATCAGAAGTAGATGTTTTCTGGAACTCTCTTGCTTTTTCGATGATCCAGTGGATGTTGGCAATTTGATCTCTGGTTCCTCAGCCTTTTTTAAATCCAGCTTGAATAGCTGGAAGTTCATGGTTCATGTACTGTTGAAGCCTGGCTTGGAGAATTTTGAGCATTACTTTGCTAGCGTATGAGATGAGTATAATTGTGCAGTAGTTTGAGCATTCTTTGGCATTGCCTTTCTTTGGGATTGGAATCAAAACTGACCTTTTCCAGTCCTGTGGCCATTGCTGAGTTTTCCAAATATGGTGGCATATTGAATGCAGTACTTTCACTTTCAGAATCGTGTTTTAGGATTTGAAATAGCTCAACTGGATTTCCATCGCCTCCACTAGCTTTGTTTGTAGTGGTGCTTCCTAAGGCCCACTTGACTTTGTATTCCAGGATGTCTGGTTCTAGGTAAGTGATCACACCATCGTGGTTATCTGGGTTGTCAAGATCTTTTTTGCATAGATCTTTTGTGTACTCTTGCCACCTCTTCTTGATATCTTCTGCTTCTGTTAGGTCCATACCATTTCTCTCCTTTATTGAGTCCATCTTTGCATGAAATGTTCCCGTGGTGTCTCTGATTTTCTTGAAGAGAGCTCTAGTCTAATAAGGTGTACTTTGCCTTATTTCTAATTTTGCTTAATATTTTTACAATCAATCTTTCCTGTTTTTACTTAGCATATGCTATTTTCCCCCACCCTTTACTTTCAGCTGTTAAAATTAATATAGTTTAAGTGTTTTTATTGAAATCCAACTAGCAATCTTTCTTTTATTTGTTGGGCTTACTCTGTTAGAAATTATTATGATGACTCATCAGTTGATCTTATTTTGTTTTTCTCTTCAATCTTTAAAAAGAACTCTTCACTTTCTATTTATCATGATATTTCTTGGCTTCATTTTTTTCCTTCAGTCTCTACTGGCTTGATCAGATATGTTTCTAAATTCTTTTTTTCCACTTGAAAGGTTTGACCTCTGTATATTATTTCTGTTTTTTTCCCATTTTTTACTGTTCAATTTCAAGAAGCTAGCAATATTGTAAGCTCTTGTAACTGTACACTCATCTCTCTGTTAAACTAGATCTGTGCTTTGTTCTTTTTGCATTCAGGGTGTTGCAGAGCACCCACGTTCAGTAGGTGACCTCTACATATTTGCTGAACGCCTGTTGTTTCTATGTTATGAGTTATCAAGCTGTCTTAACCCAGTTCCAGTCTGTGGATCACTGTGCTGTGCTCATCTTGGTAACTGGGAGGCAGTGAAGGGACCCCTCTGTGTGTTAGGTTTCTCATATGAAAAAGGGAGCAACATAGCTGACACTTCACAAGTTTGCTAAGAGGAGGAAATGTGAAGTGTTCAGAGTGCTGTGGGTGCACAGTTAAGACTCAATGCGTATTTGTTTGTTTTTCTAGTCACTGAATTTATATAAGCCTTTGTTTCCTGTTTGTAAATGAAGAATCACTTGCAGGTATTTTAAGCATAAATGCTTGTGGACACACTTTATTAGATTTGTCTTAACATTAATTTTTGGATATTCTTGATATAGTAGGAAGATGGAAATTATTATAAACCACATTATATTTAATTAATGTTTGGGGCCAGATGGCTCTGTAGATGGAGTTCAGTTTCAATCCACTAGACACTGAAAATCATGGCAACACTTCTGACAGCAGCTTGGAGAAGGTAAGGGTCCTGAGGGCCCGGTGACCAGACCAGAGGCAGGTCCTCGGAAGTGTCAGCGTCTGCTGGGACACGAGCTGGATTTCACCCAAGTCAGCGACACAGGCACCTGCTCAGGGAGTCTCAGGGATTGATAAGCAGAGTTTGATAAGTAGGAAACTAATAACTGACCTCAAGCTTTAAATGCCTTATTAAGACCATCTTTCAGATAATTTATTGACTATGGCTTATGACCTACACTTTAAAAACTTTGGTGGATTATTACCAGTCTTTTGATCTTTTGCCATTTGTAGTTCTGTAACTTCCGTGGCATTACATATAGAGAAAACATACATCAGTAGTTCTTAAGATCAAAATGTTCCATTAGCAATTATTCATAGGAAGTTTTTGGAGTCCAATTCTAAAATTTTTATAAATAAAAAAGCTATTCGTTAATTTCTTTCTTTAGATTCAGTGTTGTTAGATATGAATAGTGTAATGTTTATTAATTCAACCTGTAAAAAATATGCCTTGATTTCCCCCTTGTAATTACAGGGGTCATCATTTGCAACCCAGCAACCCCAGGCTTATAACCTCCTTGCGACCGCAGCTGCTGGTGACGGGGTGAAGCTTCGGGACCTCAGGACCCTGAGGCGCGGCTCCCTCTGCTTTTCGGGTTGCAGTTGGGGGTGAGGCCAGACAGACCCCATAGAATGTGTTTTAATTAAAGCTCATGGTAAACTCCACTTGAGCTTGTTTTTCCAAGTATGACAAGGTTGTAGTGAATCTATTCACACTGACTAAGGAAAGTCTGGTTTATGCACAGAAAGGGTCACACAGTTTGGAATGATAAAAATGCAGATCCTGGTCTTTCTCTGCTACATGTCACATGTGACCTCTGATTGCTGGAAATACACAGGCAGTTAATTGATCACTTCACTGTTGGACTTCAGTGGGCATGTATGTAACAGTGAGATGTATATATATGTGTGCAGGCATGTACACATACAGTAAGATGTGCATGTAACAGTGAGGTGTACATCTATTTGTACATAAATATATATATACACACACAGTGATACATAATACAGTTAGATGTGTGTGTATATATATGTATACAAAGTATGTGTGTATATATATATATATAAATATACACACAGAGGGGTACATACATGTAACAGTGAGATGTATATGTATGTATGCAAGCATGTGCACACACAGTGAGATGCACATGTAACAGTGAGGTGTACATATATTTGTACATAAATATATGTATACACAGTGATACATACATATTACAGTTAGATATGTATACACACACAAATATGTGTGTATATATATATATGAATATACACACACAGGGGTACATACATGTAACAGTCAGATGTATATGTATGTATACAAATACATACACACATAGTGATATGACCATGTACCAGTGAGATGTATGTATCAGTTCAGCTCAGTCGTTCAGTCCTGTCCGACTCTTTGTGACCCCATGGATCGCAGCACGCCAGGCCTCCCTGTCCATCATCAACTCCGGGAGTTTACTCAAACCCACGTCCATCAAGTCGGTGATGCCATCCAGCCATCTCATCCTCTGTCGTCCCCTTCTCCTCCTGCCCCCAACCCCTCCCAGCATCAGGGTCTTTTCCAGTGAGTCAGTTCTTCCCATCAAGTGGCCAAAGCATTGGAGTTTCAGCTTCAGCATCAGTCCTTCCAATGAACACCCAGGACTGATCTCCTTTAGGATGGACTGCTTGGATATCCTTGCAGTTCAAGGGACTCTCAAGACTCTTCTCCAGCACCACAGTTCAAATGCTTCAACTCTTCAGTGCTCAGCTTTCTTCACAGTCCAACTCTCACATCCATACATGACCACTGGAAAAACCATAGCCTTGACTAGACAGACCTTTGTTGGCAAAGTAATGTCTCTGCTTTTTAATATGCTGTCTAGGTTGGTCATAACTTTCCTTCCAAGGAGTAAGCGTCTTTTAATTTCATGGCAACAGTCACCATCTGCAGTGATTTTGGAGCCCAGAAAAATAAAGTCTGACACTGTTTCCACTGTTTCCCCATCTATTTGCCATGAAGTGATGGGACCAGATGCCATGATCTTAGTTTTCTGAATGTTGAGATGTACATATATATGTATACAAATATATATACACATAGTGATACATACATATTACAGTTAGATGTGTGTGTGTGTATATATGTATACAAAAATATGTGTGTATATATGCATATACATGCACACATGGGTGCATACATGTAACAGTGAGATGTATATATATGTGTGTGTACACAAATATATATACACACAGTGATATACACACATACATATATACATATATATATTTATACACACACACATAATTCTATTCCTTAAAATGTCCTGATAGTTATGGCAGATGGACATTGACTATATAATGTATCTAACAAAATAGAATAACTACTTACATCTGTCTCTGTATCTGTGTGTGCGACAGGACAATAGTAGCAGACTGCCTCTGTTTTCTTCTTCATTCACTAATCAAGTATAAACCCTCTGTTTCTATCCTTTGTGACTTTTGTATACTTTTCATGTATAAAAAGCTTATTTAATGTTAGTTTTGTTGTTTTTGTGAATTTATGATTTTAAAAGTGTGTTCATTATTTTTAAATGGTGTCCAGAATAACCTGCCTCACCATTTATCATCAATAATCCTCACATATAAAGATGTTGTTTCACTGTTAGTTTGCTCATTTTTGTGAAGACAAGTCAGTATCTTCCTCCAATAATTTATGTTAAAAATTGAGAAATACTTTTTTCTCTTGGTGTTTTTTCTTCCTTGTAGGTGTGAGCGCCGTTTTGAAGGACATCCAAACCGCGGCTACCCGTGTGGAATTGCCTTTAGCCCTTGTGGCCGATTCGTGGCTTGTGGTGCTGAAGACAGACACGTATGTGCTGCCGTGGCAGTGTGTTGGTCTTCAGGCGAAGATTCTGTACTCATTCTTGGGGAGACAGTTAATACTGCTGCCTGTTAGGACAGAATCTTGACTATGGGCCAGTGCTCTGAGGCTGCGACATCCTAATGGTATTAAATAGCAATCACATACAAGGTATGGCAGGCCAGCCATAGAAGGACAGATACCGTGTGAGCCTACTTATATGAGGAACCTAAAGCAGACTCATAGAGGCAGACAGTGGAAAGTGGGGCCAGGACCTCGGGCCGGGGAATGGGAGCTTCTGGGCAGGGACACAGGGCTAGTTGCGCAGGACGAGCGGGAGTGGACTCTTCTGTCAACAGGGCGTCTGGGGTCAGCACTGCTGCATGCGCACGTGAGCCGTGTTGAGAAGGTGAACTTACGCTAAATGTCATCAGGATGATTAAAAACAAGGTTGATAGGAAACTCTCCCGGGCGCATCTTGCTGTCACAACCTGGACCTTCTGGCCACCATTAACGTCTTTAAGTATGGAAGCGTTGAAATGTTAGTGTGTGTCACTAATGCTCTTTTAAGGTATGTCCACGTTAGTCTTCACCAGGAGGTAGTCCTCTGATAACAGGGGAGCCAGAAGCTAACTGAGTCTTTGCAGGTAACTTCTGGCTTAAGAGAAAATACACAGGATAATGGAAGAAATTGAAAGGGTGTCCAAAGAAGCAGACAGACAGATTCTAGATACGGAGCATCCTTCAGGACACTGGTCCAGTTCCTTCAACAACAATATGGCATGAAAAAGAGGCAGGCAGAGGAAGGATTGCTCCAAAATAGAGAGACATAGAGCAACGTACAGATCTCGACTGGATCCCGATTGAACCCACATAATTGTTAAAAGACATTTGAGAATACTTGGGTAAGGTTTGATATTTACTGGGTAGTAAATATCGGTGAATTATTATTCTTTTAGATGTAGAAATGGCAGTGCAGTTAGGTGTAAAATGCCCATGTTTTTAAATACTTACAAAATACATAGGACTCATTTTTGCAGTTCGCTTCAAAATACTTCATACTTTTTAACCCCAAAAACTAGAAAGGAAAAGAAAAAAGATACGATACTTGGAGCAAGTATAGCAAGTCTTAATAATGTTGTATTTGGGTTGTGTATGTGTGTAACTCCTTGTGTAATTCTCTGTACTTCTGCACGTATTTGAAAAACTTCCAAATGCAAGGCCACACACGGGCATCGGGAGCAATCCTTGACGTGGATGAGCTTGACTTCACCTTTGCAGGAGCCCCTTCACGACCTCCTTGTGGGCCGGGCCGGGCACTGAAGGGGGCGCTCGGCTCAGGGGAGCCTGCGTCTGTGTGCTGCTCTTCTCCGTAGCAATGGGAATCACCGTTCCCTGATCCGTGGAGTTTCTACCTGCCGTAGCGCGCGGAGGCACGCATAGCGTGCCTACTGTAGGGAAGAGGGGATAATACACGTGCGTGGTTGTGTTTCAGAAATGTTGCTTGAATCTTACTATGCAGAAAGCTGTGACTGTACCATGATGACTTCTTCGGGATCACACTAAAGCCATGGTCCCTCTATTTCATTGTAGGATCACCTTTTCAGAGAAATCAAAATGAAGGAATGAACTAAAGGACACTTGCAGATAAGTAGTTGCATATTTGATCCTAGGTCCACAGATGCTGAGAAAGACCAAGCCGTTATTGGAAACCGGGTTGATCAGGATTTGCTTCCAGATCAATGGGGCTGCTTCTCCCTTGAGAAGGGAGACACCGACGGTTAGACCCGCAGTCAGGGCCGTCTGGTGATGCGCGTGCTCTGTCTCTGTGGGAGGAGCTTGTCACCTTGCTTGTCACAGTTCTTGTTGTCCGGGCTTGGTGGGGATCCATGAGAGAAGAAGGACGTTGTGTGTCTGCCTCAGGTCTGATGGGAGAGCCCAGAGCAGCGTCACCAACATTTTCTAACAGACTCTCTGCTTCTTCCTGGACGCAGGCAGCGTTTCTGCCTCAGTGAGATTTTAAATAGCACTCTGTATTAAACCTTGACTATTTTGGTCTTCTGAGAAAAGATTTTTTTTTTTTTAAATAAAAATTCAGTGATCTGAAGAAATGTGCACAGTTCTGAGAAATGTCATCTTTGGAAATATTTTAAAAAGCAGGAGAAGGAAATGGCAACCCACTCCAGTGTTCTTGCCTGGAGAATCCCAGGGACGGGGGAGCCTGGTGGGCTGCTGTCTATGGGGTCGCACAGAGTCGGACACGACTGAAGCGACTTAGCAGCAGCAGCATAACAACAGTAAATCTTTTAATCATTGCCTTTGTGATTCTTTGTTGTACTATTTACAGTGTATTCCAAAGAATCATCATATTAAATTTGTAATTGCAGTTTAAAAAAAAAAAAAGCAAAGTAAATGTCCTTAGTTTGACAGTTGATTCCCCCGTGGACCATATAATTATTATGAAGCTTCAGAAATACAGAATTCACTTCTGTTTGCAATTCTTTTCTCTTCTGTGGGGTTAATTCGGGGAAAGGGAAAATGAAGGACACATGTTAGAATCCTGTGAGATGAAAAATGAAAGACACTTCATCTTCACGGATACGGTTCAACAGAATTACAAAACAGTTGTAATGAATTGGTCTAGTCCTGTTTGCAAAACCCTGATCTTTTTCAGTAGTACATTCAGTCCCTTACACTTTTTGTGAAAATATTTTTGAGCAGTATTATTCCAGTACCCTTGTGGTTTCTGCCACATCCTCATCTTTTGCCTGAAAAATGTTGCTTCGTTTTTCCTCACCCCTTTTCCCAGGGATTGATTTAGTTTCAGAGTAACACTTATTCTATACAGGTTTTCTTTCAGTTTTTTTTTTATTTTCTTAGCACATTTTAGCTAACACTTATTTCTGTTTAATGGGGAGAAGTTGCTTCATGAATCAATAACTGTTATTAACTCTAATTAAGACATTTTGTTCTTGCCATGGATTGTAATAAAATTGAGTCAGTTGCAGAATTCCTTGTTAACTTTTCCACTCTTTACATAAAGTACACTTTGTCCTTTTGGACGGGTCGTTGCCACTGTGTGGAAGTACAGCTTGTGATAAGTACGTAGCTAATAAAATATTTCTGATATTGGGAACTGCACACTGCTGTTTTCATTGACTCAGGAACCTTCTGGGTGAAAATATATGTTTAATTTATTTATCAAATTATTTTTTTTCTGTTTGTTCCCTTTGTTCATTCTTTGTTTTCCTTTCTTTTAAAGTTTGTTTATTTTTTTGATGGTGCTGGGTCTCTGTTGCTGCGCGCGGGCTTCCCCTGGTTGCAGTGAGTGGGGGCTGCTCTTCCTTCTGCCGCACAGGCTCCTCCCGGCAGCGGTTGGTCATTGTGGTACATGGGTGGCATGCGGAATCCTCCCACACCAGGGATCGAGCCTGTGTCCTCTGCATTGGCAGATGGATTATTATCCACAGGAAAGTCCTAAAAGATATGTTTCGTTTCATACCGTTTTCATGTAGAACACAGAAGCCCATTTCTTAGATGACTCTTCTTAGAATTGCTTCACGAGTACCATTGTGTCATCTTCCGTGCATTTTGAGATTCCAGGTAGACACAGGCCAGTGTTAGTTCCCATTTGGATTCAGGTAAAAATGAGGAGTCTCAGGAAGGGCTTGTCAACAAGAGATAACCCTGTGACAGAGGCTGACGGAAGCAGACGCTCGCGCATCGAGCCCTGCCGGCCAGTGCGGGGAGCTGCCCTTTGCCTGTCGGCCCCGCAGCTGCGCGTCTGTGCTCGCCCTTGTCCGAGGTCCGTCAGGGCAGGGAGCACGCAGGGGCTGCCTCTTTCTCTGCTGGCTGCTGCTGCAGCTGCCTGGGCGCATCCACTCTTGACCTTCCAGGCACTGTTTGTTACATCAGAGAACTTTCTGTCTCTTTCTCGACCTGCTTTCCATTAGCCCACAGGTGAGTTCTCTGGGCCTTAGAAATACTAATGTAAGCCATAAGCTTGCACTTAACTTACTTTTGTAGTTGTGTCTGTCACACATCGCACTGAGACTCCTTCTAGCATTAGCCCCGTTACCTCCAGGCCTTCTTTCCCTGACCTTTTCTTATCTCGTGGAATCTTTCACTCTGGTTGCTTCTCTTCAAACACTTGTCCAGCTGTTCTCTGACTCTTCCCGCATCTTCTGTTGTAAATTCAACCATGATCTAAGCTGTTCATGCACCACAAGTTGAAAAAACGTCAGTCTCTGATGCCAGCCTCTTCCTGCTTCCTGAATGTGGCAGCTGCGTGTCGTCACCTGAAGGCCTGGCTGTCTTAAACTCAGAAACTTAGAAACAGTGACTCGTTTCCTTTGAACACCTGCTACCTGAAGCCCCAGTCTCACTTCAGTTTGGTTCTAGTGATTTTCAGTCCCTAAAACTGCATCATGGAGATATCCTTGGTGATTAGAAATCTGCTTCTCCCTTCCTCCAGAGCCTGGAATCTAGAGGGTGTGTGTGTGTGTATATGTGTGTGTGTGCGTGCACATGGGCAGCATATGTATAGAACTATGCAATACAGCAAGTGCCTTATATACAAACCTTCAAGCTGTGGACTTTCAAAGATGTGAGCGTGCATTGGCATGTCCAGTCACACAAATCGGGTCACATGTCAGGTGTACACTGTCATGTGAGTGCATCTTCTGCACATGGCTGTGCTTGTGCGAACTTTGTACAGAATACAGTAGTCCATTACCTTTATTTCAAATGGAATGTCCAGAAGCAAGTGTGGAAGCAGTGGCAATGTAGCTGGTACTACTGTACTTTTTCAGATACTATACTGTAAGATTAAAAATATTTTCTTTATTTGTATTTGCTTTTATGTATTATTTGTGTGAAAAGTATTATAAACCTATTACAGTACAGTACTGTACACCTGATTGTGTTAGTTGCATATCTTTGCTGACTGTGGGACTTATGAACAAATTGAACTTATGAATGCACTCTTAGAGTGGAACTCATTTGTATGTAGGGGATGTGGTGTATATTCCTCCAAAAATTGTAATTTTATTGACATATTTATAGACAGGTCATAAAGTAGTTGTACAGTTAATTTTCTGAAGAAAGTTGCTAAGAGCAGTTACGGACATCTGTTTTCATTTCTTTTGGGTGTGTACAGAGCCATGAGATTGCTGGGTCAAAAGGCTGGTGTAGGTTTAATTTTGTTGGAAGCTTCCAAGGCAGCAGTACCATTTGAACAATTGAGCACCAGATGTTTGGTGTGCACACACGCACCCAGACATACACACATGCACACACACACACACAGGCACATACACGAACACACAATGCACCCAGATGTACACACACGCACACCAGGCGTACACATATATGCACATATGTGCATCCAGATGTGCATAAACATGCATACACATACACACAAACGCATCCAGATGTACACATACCTTCACCCATATGTACACATGCACACACACACATGTGCACCCAGATGTACACACAGGTGCACCCATACACGTGCACTCAGCTGTACACACACATGCACATGAACACAGATGTGCATACAGACATATATGCACACGAGCACACAGAATATACAGACATGCACACACACACCCAGATGCACTCATGCACCCAGACACACACACACACACGTGCACACAGATGTACACATGTGCACACATACATATGTGCAGCCAGATGTACACACATGTATACCTAGATGTACATGTGCACACCCATGTGCATGCATATGCATTTACACCAGACACACACACACACGAACCCATATGTACACACACATGCACACAGTGCACCCAAATGTACACACATGCACCCATGTGCACCCATGTGTACATATGTACACACAGATGTACACACATGCACACAAATGTTCACCCACATGCACCAAGACACACATGCACACATGTAAACACTGAGGCACACAGATGTACACACGTGTATACACAAACATGCACACACATAGGGATACATGTGCACACACATGCACACACACAGCAAATGCACAGGTGTTCGCACAGATATAAACACATATTCACACACATGCACACATGTGCACACAACCTACAGTTAGGGTGACAAATGATACATCAAAGCTGACACACGATATGGAACATGCAGAAGGAGGTGAAGGCTCCAGAAGACCTGCACAGTTTATTGGTGAGGAGCTCAGATGCTGGAGTGAGGCAGCTATGGTGTCCAACCTGGTTTCAGCTCCTGCAGCTGCAAGATCTGGGAAGAGCGCCCACCTCGAATTCCAGTTTCCTTACCTGTAGAATTGGGACAATAATTGTATTTTTTTGTAAGACTCTAGAGAGGATCTGATAGAGTGCCTGATGAACTATGGGCGGAGGTTTGTGACATTGTACAGGAGACAGGGATCAAGACCATCCCCATGGAAAAGAAATGCAAAAAGGCAAAATCGTTGTCTGAGGAGGCCTTACAAATAGCTGTGAAAAGAAGAGAAGGGAAAAACAAAGGAGAAAAGGAAAGATATTCCCATTTGAATGCAGAGTTCCAAAGAATAGCCAGGAGAGATAAGAAGGCCTTCCTCAGTGATCAATGCAAAGAAATGCAGGAAAATAATAGAATGGGAAAGACTAGAGATCTCTTCAAGAAAATTAGAGATACCAAGGGAACATTTCATGCAAAGATGGGTTCGATAAAGGACAGAAATGATATGGACCTAACAGAAGCAGAAGATATTAAGAAGAGGTGGCAAGAATACACAGAAGAACTGTACAAAAAAGATCTTCATGACCCAGATAATAACAATGGTGTGATCAGTCACACAGAGCCAGACATCCTGGAATGTGAAATCAGGTGGGCCTTAGAAAGCATCACTACAAACAAAGCTAGTGGATGTGATGGAATTCCAGTTGAGCTATTTCAAATCCTAAAAGATGATGCTGTGAAAGTGCTGCACTCAATATGCCAGCAAATTTGGAAAACTCAGCAGTGGCCACATGACTGGAAAAGGTCGTTTTTCATCCCAATCCCAAAGAAAAGTAATGCCAAAGAATGCTCAAACTACTGCACAATTGCACTCATCTCACATGCTAGTAAAGTAATGCTCAAAATTCTCCAAGCCAGGCGTCAGCAATATGTGAACCGTGAACTTCCAGATGTTCAAGGAAAAGGAGTAAGTCAAGGCTGTGTATTGTCACCCTGCTTATTTAACTTATATGCAGAGTACATCATGAGAAATGTTGGGCTGGAAGAAGCACAAGCTGGAATCAAGATTGCCAGGAGAAATATCAATAACCTCAGATATGCAGATGACACCGCCCTTATGGCAGAAAGTGAAGAGGAACTAAAGAGCCTCTTGATGAAAGTGAAAGAGGAGAGTGAAAAAATTGGCTTAAAGCTCAACATTCAGAAAACTAAGATCATGGCATCTGGTCCCATCACTTCATGGCAAATAGATGGGGAAACAGTGGAAACAGTGTCAGACTTTATTTTTTTGGGCTCCAAAATCACTGCAGATGGCGACTGTAGCCATGAAATTAAAAGACGCTTACTCCTTGGAAGGAAAGTTATGACCAACCTAGACAACATATTAAAAAGCAGAGACATTACTTTGCCAACAAAGGTCTGTCTGGTCAAGGCTATGGTTTTTCCAGTGGTCATGTATGGATGTGAGAGTTGGACTGTGAAGAAAGCTGAGCGCCGAAGAATTGATGCTTTTGAACTGTGGTGTTGGAGAAGAGTCTTGAGAGTCCCTTGGACTGCAGGGAGATCCAACCAGTCCATCCTAAAGGAGATCAGCCCTGGGTGTTCATTGGATGGACTGATGCTGAAGCTGAAACTCCAGTACTTTGGTCACCTCATGTGAAGAGTTGACTCATTGGAAAAGACCCTGATGCTGGGAGGGGTTGGGGGCAGGAGGAGAAGGGGATGACAGAGGATGACATGGCTGGATGGCATCACCGACTCGATGGACATGAGTTTGAGTAAACTCCGGGAGTTGGTGATGGACAGGGAGGCCTGGCATGCAATTCATGGGGTCACAGACAGTCGGACACGACTGAGCGACTGAGAGAGGATGGCATGAGGAAATTGATATCCAAGTTAGGTTCATTGAGTGTTTGCTTTCATCATTAATCTCGGTATCTTATAGTTGGGAATAATAGATGCAGCAGAGGTGTGGTCATTGTCGTTTCCCTTATCCACTCAATCTGAATAGCAGACAAGAGCAGAGCCCTGATTCTGAGAAGCCTGCGGAATTAATGAGAGCACCCCTCACCGTGTGGGCAGGGAACAGCAAGGATGGTTTTGAAGCATGTATGAGGCTAGAGGGACTCTGGAGGCCCGAGCCCTTTAGGAAGGGTGTCGTCAAAAATCTCAGTGCGGACACCTGATGGCTGTGCTCCCTTCACGACTGCTTTTCTCAGTAGCGTGTGACGTGTTAACCGTCTCACATACTCTCACCCTGGCCAGCTGTGGTTGATGTGACAGCTGTGAAGTGTTTTGTGGACAGAGATACACTGTACAAGTGTCATGGTTACTCTAGCCCTGTGGTTCTCAGAGTGGGGTCTCCCCTGGGAACTGTTAGAAACGCATATTGTCAAGTTGTCTTTGGGTCTCACCCTAGTAGCTACATGAGAAGTCTCAGAGTTAAGTAAACATATTCATTTCAAATAAATGCATCTTTGGGCCAGGAGGAAAAGGCAGACATTTTACTTCTCTACTTTAGTTCAGAATATATAAAACATCTATGTGTAGACTTTATCATAACACCACTATTTCAGTTCAGTTCAGTCATTCAGTCATGTCTGACTCTTTGCAACCCCATAGACTGCAGCACGCCAGGCTTCCTTGTCCCATCACCAATTCCCAGAGCTTGCTCAAACTCATGTCCATCAAGTCGGTGATGCCATCCAACCATCTCATCCTCTGTTGACCCCTTCTCCTCCTGCTTTCAATCTTTCCCAGCATCAGGGTCTTTTCAAATGAGTCACTACTTCATATCAGGTGGCCAAATTATTGAAGTTTCAGTTTCAGCATCAGTCCTTCCACTGTTTAGCCAATGACATGATCACTTGGGAAGTCTAAATGTGAAGGACTCATTGGTACATTAAAACTGATTATTTTTGGAGAAATGGAATCAAATTTGAGGTCTTTCTTCTGCAATATGGCACTTGTCTTAATTATCAGTGGAGTTTAGATAATACTTGTTGGCACATTTTGTTACTTAATAATTAGAATTGTTCTCCCACCCCTGGGAACCAGAGTTTATCCCTAAAATGAAGCATTCATTAGTGACTCCACACATATATCTTTTAATATAGTAATACAATTAGAGAGGAATGTATGTTTTTACTTTTCATTTCATCAACTGCTTGGAGAAAATTCTAAATGTTTGAATCGCTCCAACTCCAAGCTGATTAGTAGGAAGCAAAGTATAGACCTTTCTCTCTCAAGTTTATGGAAAAGGGCAATAAAACAGATTTTCCCACTCAATTTAGGACTTTCAGAGAAGGTTGAAATAGAAAACCCTTTACTAAAAATTAATCCTCACACATGAGCATATATTTAAATCTGTTCACAGGGTTTTGTGGAGGCTCATGGCAGAAAATAGAAAGTATGATGTAAATTCGTGAAGATGGCAAACTGTCTCAAAGGGAAAAGGGAAAACATGTCTTCACGACGTTGCTTCTGTGGCTCAGGTGGCGTGTCGTCAGCTGCCCCGGAGGCGGCTCCGATGCTTGGTCAGCTGGGGCACTTGCTTCCGCTCTGCACGATCCCTCGCGTCTGTGCACTCTGTCTTCCAGGCATGCGTGTACGAGACCGGCTCCAGCACTTTCTCCCGCAGACTCACAGGACACACCAGCACGGTCACCGCTGGGGCCTCCAGCCCGGCCGCCGCTCAGGTACGGTTCCTCTGTTTCATACAAGTCTCGTGTCACAGCTGTTGTATCTGTCAGACTGTGTTTGGGTATAATTTTATCATATTTAAGTTTACATGCTAGTTTTCATTGAGCGCAGGGAGATGAACTTCGAAAAGCTACCTTTACTGTGGAGGAAGAGGAATGGAGGGTTTTTCATTTTACAATGAAAGTATTTGTCATTCTGTGCCAATGGACATTTGCTTCAACAGAAATGTAGAAAAATAAGGAGATCTTCGTGGACAGGAAGATGGAAGAGGAAAGCAAGTACAGTGAAGTAAGGAATGGATTTCGAAATTCCCCAGAAAAGAATTTGGAGGGAGAAGGAGAGCCACAAAATTTAAAGAATCTTAATTAGGAGAAGGGATTAAGATAAAGTAACATCTGTTGCAAATCAACTCAGAAAAGTGAATGATCTTGTTATTCAAATACAGAGGGAGATCAGAATCCCCAAATACTCAATTTTCATTAGTATTTAATACTGCTTACATCTTTTACTCCAGATCCCCCTCTGTTTGTGTCTCTGGTTGTCTGGTCAACACTGGCTGCCCTGTGGTGGCTCTGGTGCTGGTCAGGCCCAAGACCGTGCTGGACTTGAGGGGGCAGCTGGCAGGCTCCACAGACCTTCTGGCCGTGTTCCCGCAGTCCAGACCTCATCTAAGGGCGCATTCATGAGGATTAGCAAAGTGGGCACTAGCCTCCGCATCTCCTGGTCAGGAAGGAGACGAGGACTCCCGGGGTGGTGCCAGCTTTGTTCCAGGGATGCTGCATAGCTTTGGGGGAAGCCAGGAGGCAGATCCCATGGCTAGTTTTTTTTCTTTGTAAATTAATTTTAATTGGGAGAGATATTATCCCCTTTCAGAAATTAAAGTTTTGAGTCCCTTGGAATAAGTTGCTAGATATGGTCCCAGAGTAGACTTTTTCATTATTGATGTTGCTCAGGTGTCAAAGTAACACTTGTGAGTCTTTTGGAAGAAGCTTATACTTGTACTGATAAAATGATTCCAACAGTGCATGTGGCTCAGAGAAAAGGGCTCTGACAGTGATGAGGGGTCCTACTGGCTGCCGGGGAGCGGGACCTCCACAGGGCTGCAGATGGTGACTGCAGCCAGAAAATTAAAAGATGCTTGCTCCTTGGGAGAAAAGCCATGACCAACCTAGACAGCATATTAAAAAGCAGAGGCATTACTTTGCCAACTCTGCAGTGATTTTGGAGCCCCCCAAAATAAAATTTGTCACTGTTTCCACTGTTTCCCCATCTATTTGCCATGAAGTGATGGGACCGGATGCCATGATCTTAGTTTTCTGAATGTTGAGTTTTAAGTCAACTTTTCCACTCTCCTCTTTCACTTTCATCAAGAGGCTCTTTAGTTCTTCTTCACTTTCTGCCATAACGGTGGTGTCATCTGCATATCTGAGATTATTGATATTTCTCCCAGCAATCTTGATTCTAGCTTGTGCTTTATCCAGCCCAGCATTTTGTCCATGAGGTCGTAAAGAGTTGGACACGACTGAGCAACTGAACTGAACTGACAGTCATCATATTGATACAGTTTAGTTTATTAGATTTTTGAGAATTAAGAACTTGGGAGCATTTTGGTTTTTTATTTTTGTAATTTAAAGAAATGTAATATATTACATTTGAAAAGAATCAATAATTTTAAAAGAATTTAAATTGTATTAAATCATTGACTAAGGGATTTCAATCTGTTCATCATGAGTGGAGTCAACACAAGTTGAAGGCCACTCTGCATGTGATGGTCAAAATCTACTCGAGTTCTACATGTGATAAATAAGATATTGAAAGACTTAAGGAAACTAGGTCTTACAGTTTAAACATTAATAGGTTGGATGAAAATTTACAAATGAAAATGAGCTGCAGGTCATTTTCTTCTGCATGAGATCGCTATGGTGCATCGAGACCCCCGTTGCCGTGGTTTCCAGCACCCAGCGCCCTGTCTGCATGGCTGGTCCTTGTGCATCAGCGTCTCCTCTGAGGGACTGTGCTGGTGGAAGAGGCTGCAGCGTGATAGAGCCTCTGCTCCCCAGCAAGTGCTGGGAAGAGGCTTTCCTGCGTGAGCATCCACGGCCCTGGGCAGGAGCATCCTGCCTGCCTCCAGCCTGGATTTACACCCAAGTCAAGGTGCCATGGGCTTCCCTGGTAGCTCAGCTGGTAAAGAATCCACCTGCAATTCAGGAGACGCCCGTTCGATTCCTGGGTCGGAAAGATCCCCTGGAAGAGGGCATGGCAACTCACTCCAGTGTTCTTGCCTGGAGAATTCCATGGACAGAGGAGCCTGGTGGGCTACAGTCCATGGGGTCACAAAGAGTGGGACATGACTGAGTGCCTGAGCACAGCGTGGGGCTGTGTCCCACGCAGACATGTTTGCATATTTGGGACCTGACATGAAGCAACTGTGTTTACTCTCAGCTTCACTTTTTGATAAGGCTCGAAATCCTAAATGAAACAGCAAAGCATAAATATTGAACAGCACAGTTCATTCCCCGTCAGCTACTGCAGATCATCAGGAATCACAAAGAATCCTGAAATCACCCCGCCCTGTTTCTCCTCAGGAACATGCACTATTGAGAAGTCCAGTCCTCTCTGTCTCTTAGCCATCTTGATCTTGTTTTCCTGGAAAAAAGAAAGCAGTCTTTTCCGGCCCTCTGTTCTCTCTTCGGCGCCCTGAGGATGGGTTTTCCATGGCCTCAGGCCCACCAATTTCAGCGGGCTGAGTGCATTTGTGCTTTCTGTCTGTGCATGGCCGCCTTGTTCTCTGCGTACCGCTTCCCCTCCTTGTAAATTGTTTGCTGACGTCTCCTGGATCAGCCGGGCCCATTGCTTGTCTTGTCTTTGTCAAGCTACCCGTTTACTGATGGAGTTGCAGCCTCACACTGACGTGGGAAGTGAGTTCCTGGTCGGGAGACGGCCTTGAAAATCCTGTGGCCGCCCCGTGTCCTGCGTTTCCAAGCTGGGGGGCCTGTGCGGCTCGGGGGGCTGCCCGGGATTTCATCCTGCCCCATACAGTTGCATTGTTTCAGAGGATGGTGTGTGTTTACGCCAACATTTGTTTCTCAATCTATGTCCTTTAGTCTTGTGGTTACAGGAAAATATCTTCCAGATTTTTGCAGTCGAATGTCTGTGGCTGATGCTTTTTTGTGATGTTACAATTTTCATTTTTGGTTGGAGAGTCTTGAGGGGGCCCCATTTGGGGTCCTGAGCTGATTCCATTTTATTCCATTTTTATTTCTGTGCCGACTTCCAGAAGTCGCCGTAGAAGTAAAACTATATATTTAGGAAGAGCTTAAGGACAGCTCCTGTGATAATTAATTTTATGTCCTCATGACTGGTGAGGGAGGCCAGACGCCTGGTGAAACACTGTTTCTGTGCATGTCTGGAGGGTCTCCAAGGAGAGGGGCATCTGTGCTGGTGAACTGTGGAAGGACTGCCCTCCCACAGTGGGGGCCTCACCGCACTGCCGAGGGCCTGGAACCGCGCACCGTGGAAGGAAGGGTGAATTCCTCCCTTCGCTTAAGCAGGGTGTCCACCTCCTCCTGCCTCAGACATCAGCCCCCTGGCCCTCAGGCTGGACTGAGTGACCCCTCCAGCCATCCTGGATCTCTCAGCCTCCATCTCCACGTGGGTCACCTCCTGGAATAAATCTCATTATAACGTGTCCTTATCTGTCCTGCTGGTTCTGTTTCTCTGTAGAACCTAGCTCATCTCCTTATTCCTAACTGTTACTTTGAAGCTCACATGTTCTTGGTACTAGGATAGAAACCTGCCCTGTCCCCCCACAGAAACAGTCTTGTCAGGGTGCGCTGGGCCTTAGCTCCTACACCCGGACCTCCTGTCTTGTAGGGAAATGCATTTGAATGGTTCCTCAGGTCCCTGTCCCAAAACATGCACAACTGTCCACTTGCAGCCAGACTCACATCCCCGGTCCCTTCACACTGATGCTGGGAGCCCCTAGCGGAGCTGACGTTTCCAGACGTCCCTGGGCTGCAGCGCTGCCCAATCCGAGCCCACCCGTGTGAAGCCCTGTCCCAGCTTCTCCCAGTTCCCCCGGTTCCTGCTCTGTCCGGGGGCTGGGAAGGAGCCCAGCAATTGCCTCATGTCCATGCCGACTGACTCCCCTCTGCCTGGGCCACTGTGGGCCTTTTTTAAAGATTCGCAGTAAGACCAAGTATATTAAATATTATTTTGTCATTGGAGCTCCCAGTATTGAGTGTCCACACTGTTAGCACACAGACTGTGGCTGAGATGTTTCTCCTAAACTCTCCAAACGGAAATCTGATGACCTTTTTTTAAAGAAAGCATTTCTCCAGTTTCATTTTGCTTCTTATATGCCACTCTCTAAAGAGGAAAGAGGCAGGAGGAAGGTGTTAGGACAAGGACCAGCTGGCAAATCTTGTAACAGTGATATTTATCAACTGCTTTTAAAAAAATTATTGAAGTATAGTTGATTTGGGGCTTCCCTGGGGCTTCAGCTGGTAAAGAATCTGCCTGCAATGCAGGAGACCCTGGTTCGATTCCTGGGTCAAGAAGATCCCCTGGAGAAAGGGATAGGCTACCTGCTCCAGTATTCTTGGGTTTCCCTTGTGGCTCAGATGGTAAAGAACCCTCCTGCAATATGGAGTACCTGGGTTCAATCCCTGGGTTGGGAAGATCCCATGGAGGAGGGCATGGCAGCCCACTCCAGTATTCTTGCCTGGAGAATCCCCATGGACAGAGATACCTGGCGGGCTACAGTCCATGGGGTCACAAACAGTCAGACACGACTGAGCGACTGAATTGAACTGAGACTGCAGCATGCCAGGCCTCCCTGTCCTTCAGTATCTCCTGGAGTTTGCTCAAACTCATGTCCATTGAGTCGGTGATGCCATCCAACCATCTCATCCTCTGTTGTCCTCTTCTCTTCCCACCTTCAATCTTTCCCAGGATCAGGGTCTTTTCCAGTGAGTCGGTTCTTCTCATCAGGTGG